ACCGACGGTCCCAGTGCTACCGTCCGCATTCTTCCCGCACACCCAGTACAGCGTTTCGTGGCCCCATAGAGAAATCCACCGAAGCCCCCAGTGGGACCGCCCGCATGCGTCCCGGAAACCCAATCCGGAGTTTTAACCCACCCAGTACAGCGTCTCGTGGCCCCATAGGAGCTCCACCGAAGCCCCCAGTGGGGCAGCCCACATGCGTCCCGGAAACCCAATTTGGCATTTTCACCAACCCAGTACAGCGTTTCGTGACTCCATAGGGAGCTCCACCGAAGCCCCCAGTGGGACCGTCCGCATGCGTCCTGGAGATTCAATTGGGCATTTTCACCCACTCAGTACAGCGCTTCGTGGCCCCATAGGGAGTTCCACCGAAGCCCCCAGTGGGACCGTCCGCATGCCTCCTGGAAACCGAATTTGACACACCCTCATACGTTTCGTGGCCCCATAGGGAAATCCACCGAAGACACCAGTGGGACCGCCCGCATGCGTCCCACACACCAAAGTTGGCTTGGCATTTTCACCCACCCAGTACAGCGCTTCGTGGCCCCATAGGGAGCTCCACCGACGGCCCCAGTGCTACCGCCCGCATGCGTTCCCCCCCACCCAGTGCAGCGCTTCGTGGCCCCATAGGGAGCTTCACCGACGGCCCCAGTGCTACCGCCCGCATGCGTTCCCCCCCCACCCAGTGCAGCGCTTCGTGGCCTCATAGGGAGCTTCACCGAAGAAGATATTCACAATTGCGGCACCCACAACTGCACATATGGTTCGGTCCTTCGCCAGGATAATTCTCGAATTGTTTGTTCCTCAGTTAGAAGAGGTCTCGTCTCGCGGGGTTCGTTGCGGCCAGGGACCCCAATGGGCTGCCCCACGCGCGCGAATTAGATACGTTGTGAGCTTCTTACCGAGGAGAAGAGCACGCCTTCGGCCCGCTGGGCTGGCGAAATATTTGATTGCATAGGGAAGAAATACGTTGATCAGGCGCTGGGGCTTCATCCGCGCAGCCTTACGGACCCTTGAGGGGGGCCAGCGGATCACAGTCAACGCCGCAACACGATGCCAGCCTATGTGTCTCCTACAGCAACAGCTGGCAGTTTGGCCATGCGCTCTGCACGAGGCGCCCATCCGACCTTGCGGATGGACGCCTTTCTCCACAGCACGGACGCGACTTATCAGCATGCTGAGGTGCCGCAAGGAGGTGACCGTTTCATTCGCCAGATGGCGACGTATGGAAATGTGAGGCCTTCGCCATGCTTCATAGCAGAGGCCCGTGCGAGGCGGCCTGTCATCAACACGGACACCGCGATGGACATGTCGTCATTGCCTGCCCCGTGGAACGACCCGACGGGCCACAAGAAGGAGGGGACGCTCGTGGTGCCCCAACCCTGTGTTGACAAAGTCAGCAACGCGTTTGCGGATATGTACCAGAACGACGCGCTGATGTTGCCTTCGGAGCGCAGGGCCGAGGCCAAGCGTATCGTCGCGGGGGAGCAGCAGTGGAAGGAGGACCGCCAAGCCCTCTTCGGGTACAAGAAACAGATCCGGACCCTGCAGACGAAGCACCCCGACGGCGTGGAGGGGGTTGACGGCCCTATGTACCCCGAGACCAGGATCTATGCGGAGAGGCGTGCGCAGATGCGGCAGCGGGGGCAGAGGCTGCAGGCGCACGCGGAGGGGCGGTTCGCCCATCTGGAGGCGCAGATGGCGGCAGACGACGCCACCACGCGCCGCAACTACGGCACGGACCCCCAGCAGCACCGCTCGGAAGACATCTGCGCCCAGCGGAAGTGCATCGACCCAGAGGTGCACCCTGCCAGGTTTCTCGACACTCACTCTCGCATCTTTCCCAAGTACGTCGCGGTCTGGGACCCGGACCGCGCGAAATACCTTCGCAGCCACGAAGTGCGAGACACGTCTTACAACATCGTCAACGGCGGAGCCAACGCCATGACGTTCGAGGTCGCCAGCCAGCAGGCATAGCAGGCACATGCAGGAGGCGACAAATTCTTGACGCTTCGCCTAACCCCACTAGCCCATCCAGAAACGATGCCCAGAGGAATTGCCTCGATCAGGAAAGTGGGCAGCACACAGAGGACGGGTCCCCCAATGGAGGCCTCTTGGAGCGTCTTGGGGGCCTCTTGGCGGTCCTGGACGCCTTTCAGAGCGTCTTGAGTACCTCGGAGAGCTTCTTGGGGCCTCTTGGGGGTCTCTTGGGAGCCTTTTGGAGGCCTCTTGGGCGCCTGTTGGGGCCTCCTGGGGCCTCCTGGGGGCCTCTTGGGGCCCTCTTGAAGCGCTCTTGGGAGCCTTGGGAGCGCTCTTGGAGCCCTCTTGGGCCATCTTGGAGCCATCTTGAGGCCTCGGATGGCCATCGGAAGCGAAAAGGCGAGAAAGCCAAAAACATGGATTTCTCTTGGGTTTTGGAAGGATTTCGCCTCTTCGGGGCCTCCTGGGGGAGCTCTTTGGCCACTCGGGGCCGTCTTGGAGCGGTCTTGGGGCCTCTTGGAGCATCGTGGGAGCCATCTTGAGGCATCTTAGGATATCTTGAGCCATCTTGGAGGTCATCTTGGGCTCTCCCACGCACTTTGGGAATATCATCTTAAGCAGTGCCCCCCCCCCACCAGGAGGCCAACATGTGGCCAAAACCTGATGAAATCAATGATTTGGGCATTCTCGCCGAGGTCTCTTGGAGCGTCTTGGGTGCCTCTGGGGGGCCTCTTGGGGGTCTCTTGGGGCCCTCTTGAAGCGCTCTTGGGAGCCTTGGGAGCGCTCTCGGAGCCCTCTTGGGCCATCTTGGAGCCATCTTGAGGCCTCGGATGGCCATCGGATGCGAAAAGGCGAGAAAGCCAAAATCATGGGTTTCTCTCGGGTTTTGGAAGGATTTGGCATCTTCGGGGCCTCCTGGGGGAGCTCTTTGGCCACTTGGGGCCGTCTTGGAGCGGTCTTGGGGCCTCTTGGAGCATCGTGGGAGCCATCTTGAGGCATCTTAGGATATCTTGAGCCATCTTGGAGGTCATCTTGGGCTCTCCCAGGCACTTTGGGAATCTCATCTTAAGCAGTGCCCCCCCCCCCAACAGGAGGCCAACATGTGGCCAAAACCTAGTGAAATCAATGATTTTGGCACTCTCGCCGAGGTCTCTTGGAGCGTCGTGGGTGCCTCTGGGGGGCCTCTTGGGAACCTCTTGGGGGCATCCTGGGGGCCTCTTGGGGGCCTCTTGGGGGCCTCTTGGGGCCTCCTGGCCACCTCTCGGGGCCCTCTTGGGGCACTCTTGGGAGCCTTGGGAACATCCTCGCCGAGGCCGTTTTGGACGCTCCGACCGCTCGCGAAACGCCCCGTCCAGGTCCAGGGGAGGGGGTAGGGGGAGGGGTCAAGAGTCTCCCTCTCCGCCCGCAAGCAGTCTCGCTCACTCCCACCCGCCCTTCCAACACATACGTAGCACCCGAGCTTGGCCCGAGCCGCAGCACATGCAGCAGTCGTCTTTGGATGGCCAGCTACTGGCGGCCAATCCGCCGCCGCCGCCCCCGCCGTCCGCCGCCGCAGCCGCAGCCACTGCCGCCGCAGTCGCTGCCGCCACCGCTGCCGCCCCCGCCGCCACCGCCGCCGCCGCCGCCGCCGCCGCCGCGCCCCCGCTGCCCGCGCCGCCCCGCCGCCGCCACCGCCGCAGCCGCCGCAGCCGCTGCCGCCCCCGCCGCCCGCCGCCGCCGCCCCCGCCGCCGCCACCGCCGCAGCCGCCGCAGCCGCCGCCGCCCCCGCCGCCGCCACCGCCGCAGCCGCCGCCGCCGCCGCCGCCGCCAAGTGTACTCCGTATTGTTTTTGTTGGCAGGGATGGTGGGGGGAGGTCGCATCGGGTTCGCTGCGCATGCTCCGAATTTGGAAACCGATTGTGTGTGTGTGTGTGCTGCATTGTTTGTTACCAGGGATGGTGGGGGCAGGGTGTGTGTTTGAATTGTTTTTACAAGGGATGGTGGGGGGGGCGCATGGACCTGGGTTGGCTCCCAGTCGCCAGGGGGAGGGGGTGTACATTAATAGGGAAAGGGAAGAAGGGGGTGGAAGAGGAAACACCCCAAACTACCTACGCCTTAAAAGGGCTGGTGGGATTGCGCAGCGGGTTTCGAACACTTGGAGACCTGCTGTACCACAAAAGCACATCATCCTCGCTCGCGGTCCTTACGATACGATCAAGTTGACGACGTCTCTTTTCAACATCCAAGAAATCCTGGAAACGCTAGCCAGCGCACGGGGCGCCCACGAGGCGCCTCCAGCCGAAAACCTGGAAACGCCAGCCCTCCGAATTACACAACTAGCAGCCACTCAGTATAAGTATTGTTTGGGGAAGCGCCCACAATTGGGGTCGCGCTGGGCTCATTCCTGTTATGTTGAGGAGATGAGGACGAGGACGAGGAGGAGCAGCAGCGGCAACAGCAGCAGTAGGGTTGTTTCTCCACAGAAGCAGACAGAGAGAGAGAGAGAGAAGGAAAGAGAGAGAAAGAGAGAGAGAGAGAGAACAAAGCACACAACGATTCCTTGAGCAGCCGTTACACCCGAGAGACCTGCCTTGCCAACGCCGTCGCTGTTGGGCGCTGAAGTGCGGGCTGGTGACGTAGCGCCCGCGGGCGGTGGCGATGGAGGATTGCCTCGGCGTCGTTCTCCGCTTCATCAGGGCCTCCAAGCGTGGCTTTGCGGGCGACGTCTTCCTGCCTCCTCCGCTACCATCAGCTCTGGGAGTTGGTCGACAATCCCTATGCGTTGGAGAGCAACGTATCGGTGAAGCTCCAGCGCGCGAGAGACCCTGCCTTACCCCGCCTTGGAGCTGGCGCGCGATCGAGCGCTGGACCAGCTCGGCGAGTCCCATACTGACCTTATCGGGGATGACGCTTCGTAGGCAGCCAAGGTGCGGGCCAAAAACAACAGCCTCATTTTTCGGTTCCAGTCAGGGCGCGCCTCGACGATGGATTGCATCCTCGACCAGCGTGGCGAAGCCAAGGCGACTCCATAGGAGATGGCTGTGGCGCTGCGAACGCGTTGGGGGAAGGTGTTTCAGCGACGCGGCGTCGATGAAGACGGGCTGAAGGAGTGGCTTGGTCAAGATTCTGGGCACCGCCCCCTCGGCCACCTGAGGCCGTTCCCGCCGTGCAGTTTCAGGGTGCAGAAGCACCATTATCAGAGATGCCATGCGCGGATTTTCTTGCTCTTCGCTGGGGCCCGACAGGCACTTGCCGTGGAGACATTGTACGAAGTTTTCGGGGACACATGCAGCGAGGACGGCCCGCGACGCCTTCACGAGTTTGCCGAGGACGTCAACCACAGCCTCTTGTTCTTTATCCCGAAGGGCCCGCCAGAGAGATCGGGCCAAGGTGAGGTGTGTCACGCTGTGGACAGGGTCGGGCCGCTGAACGTCACGCATGCTGACGATAGGCTCCTTGCGAACGCAGCGCGCATGGTGGTGGAGGATGCGGTGGCAGCAAGGATCACACAGCGGGAGTTGCTTCCCGGGAGGTGCATGCTCTCCACCTTGATAGACGTGGAGGAGGGGGTAGCGCAGCACTACGTGGACAACGACGGGCCGATGGCCATCTTCTTTGATTTTGAAGCCGCTCTCCCGTCTACTGAGCACGGCTTCCTCCTCCAGCATAGAGGGGAATGGGTATCAGGGACAAACCGAAGCACCTGGGTTTCATCCAAGCCCCAGTGTCATGGAGGAGTCGTGGAATGCGCCTTTCGTCAATGCGCCATTCGACAAGATGCTAGAGCGAGCGGTGGCCTGGGGCACGCTTGGCCCTGGTCGCTTTCACATTTGAGCGGCCTACCGCGTGTTCGCGGCATCTTTGGTCATGTTCGTTGCTCAACTTCGGCCTCTACCAGCGGTGTTTGACGCTGTGGAACGGCGAGTGTGCACCAAGTTGTCCTCAGGCCCGCATGCTTGGACGACCCCAGAGGTTATAAAGCAGCTCCGCAGCCCTGGTTTTCCTGGTGGGCTGAGGGATTTCCAGTGCGCGACTGTGGCGGCTCAGGCTCGTGTTTGTCCCCCCGCCGAGGCGCTGCGGCAAGGCGGGCTGCAGGTTTACGCGAGGGCGCGAGGGCGCGCCGGCTCCGCAATTGCTTCCGGGGCGCCGAGCGGCGATTGCACCCTGGAGCCGTTGAGGCGTGGCTGGCGGGCAACATGTTGTTCGTCCCGGAGGCTTCTGCCGACTGTGTGGAGCGAGCGGAGCGGCAGATCGGACCGACAAGCACTCTGGACGTCCAGGGGGGGCACACGCTTCCCATCAAAGCGGGTTGCAAGTGTGCCGATGCCAATCGCTGCTGGCAGCTCGTTCGCCTTCCCTGGTCGCGGTATTCTTTCGTAGGCGGCTGGGCCATCAGCAACTGGAGCTTGCGCCAGGCCGCCGAGAGCCACGGTTTCGCGTTCCACCTGGCTCTCCTTTGCCAGAGCGGACCGCCGTGCGTAATGGCCGCGGCGTTGCGCACAGCTTTCAAGGGTTGGCTCACGACGGTGCGCTTTCAGCAACGATCTCTTTGTGTCTTTGTGTTTTTGGATCTCGACGGCATTGTACAAATTGTGGATTGTGTCATCGCTGGTGTGAGCAAGCGCGCGCCCTTCCGCGGAATGCCCACCGAGGCGCGCCTGTTGTGTTTTCTCGGCTCGCGCGGTTCGACGGGGCTCGAGGTTGAGAGCCAAGCACGTACCAGTGACGAGATGTTTCTCATGAGATTGGTGTGTATTTACGCTTTGTACAAGGCGCGCTTGGCGGTACGGCGCGACGCCGTCTCGCAGCCCGCAGCCGTGCAGTTTTCAGGCCGCCGTGCGCGAGGCTTGCTCCCAGGAGCCTCTCTGTGGGTTGCTCGCCATGTCTCGGCGCCAGCGGCCACGCGAAAAGGCGCGTCGTGCTTCTCCGTCTCTCGTCTCCCTCCTGGGGCTTCTGCCTGGCAGCCGTCATGCTTACGCAGCCTTCTGGTTTCGCGTTGTGGCCGCTGTTACTTCGCACGGGACTGCCGTTTCCAAGCACCTTGGATGATATGTGTGGGCGCCCCCGTAAAGGTTGAGATTCGAAGATTCGTCAGTCTTCCTCCTCTGGGCTGGTGCGCGGCATTTGCCTGCATTGCCTGGACCCGCAGGGCGGTGCTCCCAGAGCGCCAATGTTGGCAAGCACGGGGCACATTCCCCTTCCTCCTCCTCCTCCTCCTCCTCCTCCTCCTCCTCCTCCTCCTCCTCCTCCTCCTCCCCCTTCCTCTTGTTCCCGTCGCCGAGTTCGATTCAAATTGGGACTTTTAGTTTGCGTGGTCATTCACGGAGCTTGGTCTTTAGTATTTTCATACGGCTTGTCTATGGCAGGTTGGCTTGAGCGCTGTTCTTGGTGTTTTGTGGCCTCATACATCCAACAGCGCACCAATGCTGTGGAGACGTTGGCCCGGCCGGAAGTTCCCACAGCGCGTGTGGCCATTCATATGGGCGTGTGCATTGAAAAACAAACTCTTGATGCCGGGCCAGGAGCACCTGGAAAGTTCAAGCCAAACGCAGAAGAATACTGTATGTGGAAGGGGGTGCAAACGAAATTACAGAAACGCACTGAATCCTCTCCGACTGCTCTTCTTTCTCCTCCCTCTTGGATCCCGCTTTTTTTCTCCCTTCCCCCCGCCCGCCCTTTCAAGCCTCTCCCCCCCCCCACACACACACACACACACACACACACACACACACACACACACACACAAGCCTTCTAAAACCTTCCTTTCGCTACTACACCGCCAGGATGCATAATGCACTGCCTCGGAGTCGTGCCTCGAGGACTTCTTGAGGAGTGGTGGGTATGAATATCCGCCCGTCCTTGAGGGCTTGGAAGTATCCGCGTCCGCCGCTCACCACGTATCCAGGGCAGGACTCTAGCAGCAAAGTATGTCGATGTTTTCTGGCGGTGCGCCCTCTCCCTCCTCCTGCCCACTTCGACCAGACCACCTGGAGATCTGCCAGACCACCAGACCATCTCGAGATCCGCCGACCGCACAGTGGCGTCGGCATTGGTCACACCCTTCTTAGACTCGCAATTTCGCCCGCACACGTGGGCGGGGAGGGGGGGGATGGGGAGGAGGAGGAGGAGGTGGAGGAGGAGGAGGAGGAGGAGGAGGAGGAAGGGATGGGGAGGATGGGAATGATGATGATGATGAGGAGGAGAAGGAGGAGGAGGAGGATGAGGATGAGGATGAGGACGATGATGATGATGATGATGATGATGATGATGATGATGATGATGATGTTGATGCTGATGATGATGCTGCTGATGATGATGCTGGCGATGGTGATGGCGGTGGTGATGATGATGAGGATGATGATGCTGATGCTGCTGCTGATAATGATGGTGGTAGTGGTGATGATGTTGATAAAGAGTATGCTGATAATGATGGTAGTGGTGATGATGCTGACAATGAGTCTGATGATGGCGATGAGGAGGATGATGAGGATGATGCTGATGATACTGAGACTAAAACAGTACTGATTTCGATGCGTGTGAGGATGACGATGACGATGAGTATGAGGATATGAGGATGCGTATGAGGATGACGATTGTGATGGTGATGGTGATGGTGATGGTGATGGCGGTGGTGATGGAGATGGTGATGATGATGACGATGGTGATGGTGATGATGCTGTTGATGATGATGTCGATGTTGTTGTTGATGATGATGATGATGATGATGATATTGATGGTAATGATGATGATGATGCTGATGATGCTGCTGCTGCTGCTGATGATGATGATGATGATGATGATGATGATGATGATGATGATGATGGTGGTGGTGGTGGTGGGCGTGGTGGTGGTGGTGGTGAGGAGGAGGAGGAGGAGGATTGAGGGATGAGCGATCAATGAGGAGTGAGGAAGATGCGGAAGAGGAAGAGGAGGAAAGGAGGAGGGGGATGAGGGGAAGGAGGAGGAGGGCCAGTGCAAACCCAAGAGTCAGCAACGAAATTTGAATACACCCTCCCTCCAAACTCCCTCTTCATAGGCCCCTGCAACGGTTCATTTCCATTGAGAGAACTGCCTCGTTCTAAGACATCCGTTTGAAGACCTTGAAGCATGCCAAAGCACTATCCTCGGGAGTCCAACGCCACGGATGAACTTGACTGTTGCGTCTTGACGATCCTGACTTGCGCCAGAACGCCATTTCTGGAATCAACGCAACTGTTGCGCCCGCATAATGCGGAATCCTTTCAAAACATTAGCTTTGGTGCGTGGATGATCGGAACCCGTAAAATTCTTGTACGTTTCCATATGTTGTTTGAAGCGAATGTGCGCCACGTTACTGCGAGAGCCACATGTTTTAAAGGAACCGCCCTCAATTCGTGAAACTCTTGCAAATGTTTAAAACGAATGTGCGCCGCGCTAAGGCGAGAGCCACATTTTGAAAATGAACCGCCCTCAATCCGTGAAACTCTTGCCAATGTTTAAAACGAATGTGCGCCGCGCTAAAGCGAAAGCCACATTTTGAAAACGACCCACCCTCAATCCGTGAAACTCTTGCAAATGTTTAAAGCGAAGGTGCGCCGCGCTAAGGCGAGAGCCACATTTTGACCCCCCCCCTCCATCTGTGAAACTGTTGCCAACATTGAGCTTCAGAGTCATAAGTGGTGAGGGAGTCTCAGGCGAAACGCCCGGACCGCCCTAAAAACTGATCTCGGGGTGCGACAGGGAGAAGTTATCTACAAAGAAAAGGAATGGAGGAGGAGAAGGAGGAGGAGGACAAGGAAGAGGAGGAGGACAAGGAGGAGGAGGGGGAGGATATCCAGGAGCGAGAAGGAGGAGCAGGAGGAGGAGGAGGAGGAGAAGGAGGAGGAGGATGAGGAGAAGCAGGAGGAGGAGGGAGGAGGAAGGAGGAAGAGGAAGGAGGAGGAGGAGGGGGAGGAAGAGGAGGAGGATGAGGTGCAGCAGGAGGAGGAGGAGCAATTGGAGGAGGAGGAGGAAGAAGAGGAGGAGGAGGAGGAGGAGGAGGAGGGAGGAGGAAGCGGAGTAGTATCCAGGGGAGGAGGAGCAGGAGCAGGAGGAGGAGGAGGAGGGGCAGGCCATCTTTCCCATTTCAGGAGGAGGAAGAGGACCTGAGATTGCAGGCAGGGTGAGCATGCTGGCTCGCGCGGTATTCCTGATTTTTGTCCTCCTTCGCCTTCTTCGGTCTCGCGTCATCGCCTTTGTCATCGCACTCCTCCTCTTTTTCCTTCTCCTCCTCTTGCTCATGCTCCTCAAGCTGAAAAGCACGATGCTAAGCGCATGCCCTGCTTTGGGGGGCTCTGGTGCCTCCTCCAACCTAGAGACTCCGAGAACATCGGTAAAGTCGAATATTTTCCAAACTGTTAGACAACCGTCGAAAACGAATGAGAAGACGATGCAGAGGCCATCTTGGCTCAAGTCCATGGCCCGAACGCGTTGCTGGTGAATGCCGCCACCCTCTGGGTGCTTGCCTTGCTGGCCACCGCAGCCTGCGCGACGGATCCGCACCACGGAATGCCCGGCGCCGGCTGCGAGCGAGGTCTTGTTGATGTTTTGGTTGTTCTTGTTGGTGTTGCTCCTACTCCTCCTCCTCCTCCTCCTCCTCCTTCTCCTCCTCCTCCTCCTCCGCCTCCTCCACCTTCTCCTCCGCCTCCGCCTCCTCCTTCTCCTCCTTCCGACCCCTCCGTAGCCATTTTGGCTCAAGATTTGGAGGTTCCCCGTGGACCCCGTGGATCCAGCTGATCCGCGACCAGTCATCCATGAGTCGCATGGTCAGCCCCAGGCAGAGCGCTGTGTGGTACCCCCCACACACACACAGCGCAGCATCCATTGCCACCACTAGGCTATGCGCTGGTCGGTTGCGAATCCCTCTCTCGCTCGACAGCCGAAGCTGATGGCGTCAGTGACTCGACACCAGCAGTTTCGAATGGCATGGGCGCAACCGTGGCTGTTCAATTGGTGTACGAATCGGCGAAGAAGCGTGGAAAGGCATGCGGATGCGGCAAGAGCGTTGCGTTCCACACCCTCAAGCCGTCGAAGTCGCCGTCGGAGTCCACCAGTGCTAAGCAGAAGGATAATGATTTGGCAAAGTCATCTCGGGAGAAGGCTCCCGAGAAGCAGAGCTCCGTTCGCAGTTAGGTGCGAAAGGCGAGTGCGATGCAATGGTCGTCGACGCTGGAATTGCATGCAACAAAGAAACGAGTAGTACAAAGCAGAGCTTGCGGAGGCAGATAGCATACTCAAGGTCCTTCCGAATGAGCCCTCCATGGACTTCGTCCGGGAGCAGAAGATGCACCTGGAAAGACATCGTGACGCATGCAAGGCGAAGCAACGGGCAAATCAGCCCTTTGAGTGGATGGCGCATGATGCGGTCAATCAGGAGAGGCTGTTGGAGATCAAGAAGCAAAAGCTTCAGAAGTCGGTGGGGCAGGCCAAGCTTGCTGCCGAGGAGAAGCCCGTGCTGCGCTGGACGATGTGGAGAAAGGCTTGGTTGAGGTGCTCGAGCAGATCGTGTCGAAGGAGGCGGAGCTCAAGCAAGGGCAGCCCAAGGTATCAGTCGGGAGAGCTCTGTCGTCTCCCGTCGAGAACATCGGGACGTCGGTCGAGGAGCCCGGCACGATGTTCACAGCAAGGGGGTTGGGTGCATTTGAGGCAGGGGATTGATCGGCTGAGATCAAAGGTGGCATGCAGGTCTTGCTTGAGGCGGAGAAGAAGATGCACCCAGCAAGGCCTGTCGGCCGCCAACCTGAAGGTGCAGCCGCAGCAGCTGGATCATTATCTCAACAGCAGCAGCACCAGCAGCAGGCTGCAGCGCGTCCTGAGCATTCTCTTGGGTATATTCTTCTGACTGGTCAGGAGGAGCCTGATGTCCTACGCAAATTCTCGGAATCGTTGCAGCAGGAGGTGCCAGATGGCGAGGATGAAATGCGATCAGCAGCCAAGAGGCCCAGTGACGGAATCCAGAGCTTACCCAAGAAGGCCCGTCAGGAATAGTTGACTTCCACTTCTGTGGGTGGTGATGTTCAGTATTTCCAATACGATGGCGATGGATGGTGCAGAATGTGTTCAGACGTTGAATTGTATTTTGCTGAATCAGGTGGTGGGGTCTTGGAAGCTGCCCCTGGCCCTGATTGGCTGCCATGTTGCGCTTGGTCCTTGGACCTGGTGCTCTATCACCTGTGCTCTGGAGGTGGTGCCCCTGCGCGGTTCGGAGCCGGTTCCTGGGCGTCTTCATCCCCAGGGACTTGTCTGCGCAAGAGGAGCTCCCTGGGGACCGAACTGCTCGGCGCGGTGG